CCCCCAGGACCACCCCCCCCATGGGTGCTCACCATCCTTGGTCGCTCTTGAATTTATAGGCGGCTGCCAGGATGTGGCACAGGGCTCCCCCCGCCTTGAAATCCAGGAAGCATTTGATCTGCAACGGGAGAGGGGCTCAGGGGGACAGGGACACTGCCCTGCTGGGTGACATCTACTCCTCGGGGTGCCAGCCCCTTGCCCGGGTGACATCTTCTCCTTAAGGTGACATCCCCACGTCTGGGTGACATGTCCTTGTTAGGGTGACGTCCCCGTGTTTAGGGACATCCCCTCATGAGGTGCCATCCCCTCCCTAGGGTGCCACCTCCTTGCCCAGGTGTCCCACCCCCATCTCAGGGTGCCATCCCCCTGTCTGGGTGCCATCCCCTCATGGGGTGCCATCCCCATGTTTAGGTGCCATCCCCATGTTTAGGTGCCATCCCCTTGCCCAGCTGTCCCACTCCCATCATCAGGTGCCACCCCCCTGTCAGGGTCCCCATCCCCAGGTGTGGCTGTCACCCCCTTGCCGGGATGTCACTGCCACCTCTGGGAACCATTTCCTTGCCGGGGTGCCACCCCCTTGTCAGGGTCCCCTCTCCTCTCCCGGGTGCCACCTCCGTGGGCTCTGTCCCCGAGCTGGGATGGAGTTCCTGCAGTGCTGTCCCCAGTTGGGGACACTGTCCCCAGGTCCTTTGGGGCTGTCCAGTGTCCCCTGGCTGAGGCCCTGTCCCGGTGTTGGGGTGTCCCCTTTTGGGGACAGGGCGCTGTCCCTGCTGGTAAAACTGTCCCTGTGTGGGGACCCTGTCCCCTGTCCTTGGGGACAGTCCCAGCACTGTCCCCAGCACACCAGGGCGTGTCCCTGACCAGGGCACTGGCACTGGCTGCTGTCCATGGTCAGCTGCTGTCCCCGAGTCACCCGAATGCTCAACGGTGTCACCAGGGCCACGTCCCTGAGGCTCTGGGTGCTGTCCCTGCTCAGGGCCGTGTCCCCAGGTCACTGGGCTGTCCCCAGGTCTTTGGGGACATCGGGGACATGCTCCTGTCTCTGGGGCACTGTCCCTGCTCAGGACCTTGTCCTTGGTCATCACTGTCCTTGTCCCCTCTGCACTGGGGCTCTGCCCCAAGGTTTGGGGTGCTGGTTCTGCATATTTGGGATGCTGTCCCCATCCAGGCCTTGTCCCCACCTCACAGGGACCGTGTCCCTGGCTGCTGTCCCCAAGCACTGGGGTTCTGTTCCTGAGTACTCAGGCGCTGTCCCCACTCAGGGCCTTGTCCCCTGTTCTTTGGGGCCTTTTCTGGGGGGCTCTGGGGCCTGTTCCCACTCAGCTTTGTCCCCAGGTCTTTGGGGCGCTGCCCGTGGGTCACTGGGGCCTTGTCCCAGTGTCACTGGGGTCTGTCCCCAGGCCTTCAGGGCTCTGTCCCTGCTCATCAGGGTCATCAGGGCCATGTCCCCAAATCACTGGGGCTCTGTCCTCGTGTCTTTGGGGCTCTGTCCCTGCTCAGGGTCTTGTCCCTGGCCAGCAGAGCCCTGTCCCCAGGTACTGGGGCTCTGTCCCTGGCTGTTGAGGGGACACCCTGAAGACAGGGATGCTTCCCCTGGATATTGGGGTGCTGTCTGAAATCAGGGCTTTGTCCCCTCTTCTTTGGGGCTCCTCCCTGGGTCTCCAGGCCCCCATCTCAGCGCCATCCCTGCACCTTTGGGGCACCATCCGCGCTCAGAGCCTTGTCCCTGCTCACCATGGCCGTGTCCCCATCTCCCTGGGGCTGTCCCCGGTTATGGGGGTGCCATCCCCAGCTCTGTGGGGTGCTGTCCCCACAGCTTTGAGGCGCTCTCCCCAGTCCGGGCTTTGTCCCCCCGTTCTTCGGGGCTCTTCCCCCGCTCACCCCAGCGCCACGAGGGTCCATCCCCGCACCTCCAGGCCACTGTCCCTGCTCTGAGCCCTGTCCCCAGACCCCCCGCGTGTCCCCCCCAGGCCCCGAGGGATCCCGGCCGCTGTGTCCCCGTGTCCCCCCGTGTCCCCCCGTGTCCCCCCGTGTCCCCCCGCGGCTCTCACCGGCAGCTTGGTGAGGGGCGCGTTGCTGACGTGCTTCCCGAACACCTCCTCCTGGAACTGCAGCAGCTGCACCACCAGGCTCGACAGCGATTTGTTGGTGGGAGGCTCGGCCTGGATGTACTGCGGGGCCGGGGGCTCAGCGCGGCCGCCGGGGCCGCTGAGGGGAGGGGGGGGCGCGATGGCGGCGGCGGCGCCGTGACAGGCCGGGCCCGGCGGGGCGGGGGAGCGGCGGCGGCGGCGGCCCCGCGGTTCCGCGGACCTACCTTCTTGTAGTTCTTGCCGAGCCACAGCCGCACGTTGTCGAACTGGCTGACGGTGTCCGAGGCCTCGTAGTACTTGACGTTGGGGCCGCCGTCCTTCTTCCGCACCGCCATCTTGAGCGGGCCGGGCCGCGCCGCCGCCTCCGCCCGCCACTGCCGCCCCCTGCCGGCCCCGCGCCGCCACTGCCGCGCCCGCCGCCGCCGCCGCCGCCGCCGCCGCTCGCTGTCCCCGCTCCCGCTCGCTGTCGCCGCTCCCGCTCGCTGTCCCCGCTCCCGCTCGCTGTCCCCGCTGTCGCCGCTGTCCCCGCCGCTCGCACCGGCCCCGCTCGCTGTTACGGCCCCGCCGCCCCCTTTGGTTCTCTCCCGTTCCCGCACCGCCGCTCCCGCCGCCCCCGCTGCCGCCCCCTGGCGGTGCCGCTCCCGCGCTGCCGCCTCCGCCGCTCCCGCCCGGTGTTGCCGGTCCCGGTCTCTCTTCCCGCTCCCGCCCGGTGTTCCCAGTCCTGGTCGTTGTTTCCGCTCCCGATCGTTGTTCCCAGCCTCGATCGCTGTTCCCGGCCCCGCTGGCCCCGTTCTACCGCCCGCTGTCGGTCCCGCCGCGCCCGCCACCGCCTCCTGCTGGTCCCGCTCCCGCCGCTCCCGCCGCTCCCGCCGCTCCCGCCGCTCCCGCTTTCCCCCGAGCGCCGTTCCCGGCCCCGAGCCCCCGCTCCACCTCCCGTTGTTGGTCCCGCTGTCCCCCGGGTGCTGTTCCCGGTCCCGGGCGCCGTTCCCGGTCCCGAACCCCCCGCTCCACCTCTCGTTGTCGGTCCCGCTGTCCCCGGCCCCGCCGCCCGCAAGTGTGACAAGAGAGGCAGGACAAGGAGAAACGGGTTCAGACCGAAGGAAATTTGGTTTCCACGGGATATCGGGAAGAAATTCCGGCCTGTGAGGGTGCTGGGAATGGATCTCCCAGAGCGGCTGTGGCTGCCCCGTCCCTGGAAGTTTCCAGGCGGGGTTTGGAGCAGCCTGGGACCGGGGAAGGTGTCCCTGGGACGGGGTGGAAAGGGATGAGCCCCGGCGGGAGCCCCGGAGCGGAGCCGGGCACCGGGCATCGAACATCGGGCACCGAGCGCCGGGCACCGGACAGCGAGCACCGGGCATCGAGCACTAGATACCGAACACCGGGCATCGGGCATCGGGCATGGAACACCGAGCATCGAGCACCGGGCACCGGACAGAGAGCACCGGGCACCGGGCACAGAACACCGGGCACCGGTCATCGGGCATGGAACACCGAGCATCGAGCACCGGGCACAGAACACCGAGCACCGAACACAGAACACCGGGCACCGGGCATGGAGCACCGAGCATCGAGCATCAAGCACCGAGCACCGAACACTGAGCACTGGGCACCGGGCACCGAACACAGAACACCGGGAACCGAATACCGAGCACCGGGCACCGGGCACAGAACACCGAACACCGAGCACAGAGCACCGGGCACCGGGCACGGGGCGGGGCCGGGAGCGGCGGCGGGGCCGGGTCTATGCGGAGCGCGGCGGACGGAGGCGCGAGAGTCACGGTGGCCGAGTGGTTAAGGCGTTGGACTCGAAATCCAATGGGGTTTCCCCGCACAGGTTCGAATCCTGTCCGTGACGCCACGCTCACTTTTGCTGGTGGGGGACACACGGGGGAGCTCCCCCGGTACCGGTGAACACACCCGGCCCCTCCGGTACCGGCAGACACAGCTTGAGCCGCTCCGGTACCGGCTCTTTTAACGGAGGGAACAGCGGAAGAGACACACCCTCAGCTCC